CCCCGGGGTCCCACGCAAACCTAGACACATAAGAACTGACCGCATTCCGGCGTACAGATGACGGTAGCCATTGGCGACGAGATCCGCGACTCCTCGGCCTTCGCCGAGAAGATGAATGACAGCTTCGACTCGACGCGCCTTCGCATCCGCGGGACCATGAACCGCATGCTCGTCATGGCCGAGAAGACGGGCGTCGGCTGGAAGGTCTGGCTCGGCTTCTTCGCGGCCGTGTGTTTGTTGTTCATTTACGTCTGGCTTTTTTAAGCTGCCGGATCGACGACCACGGTGACGAAGACCACGAGAGAGCAGGCAAAGACGACGCGTAATTATCGCTGAGGTCAACGAGTCCAGCAGATGGGACTGCCAAAGTTCCAGAATGATACCTTCTTGCCATGTGGGGTTTTGCCGAGGCCGTCGACATGGACAACGACGTACCAAGCTCTCGCGGTCACCGGAGGGGATCTGGTGGTCAAACTGGACTGCTCATGGGCATGGCTTGGGTGTATGACACGAATCGGGCCAAGCTCAACAACAAAACCAGCAATAGTACAAGGGGACGAGGTCCGGCAAGAGAGCAAGAGAGAGGGGAAAAGGGGGATGAGGCGGCGCGTTCAGGATGCAACATTCTAACCTTCGCCCTATCCCCTGTCGAATAGTGAGGCGCGTCTTGTTCGGAGGCGCCAAAATTTCTGCATGCTCGGCGTTGGAGGCGTTTTCCGACAGTTCTTTTGCCTGAGCCATCAATGTTGAAGGAGAGGGAGAGAGCCCCCCCGAAACATGATTTCATTTCTTTTTTTCAAAGAATTGAATTACGAGAGAAAGAGATGACGACATGAAGGACGTCCTGATATGAATAAGTCAGGGGAGGGCAGAAATATGGTTTTGTTGCGCTTTTTCAGGGGAACATTGCTTTGATTACATTGCATGCATCAGATGTCAGGCAGAGGGAGGGAAGGGGAGAGTGCGTGTTGGGGGGGTTTCCCCCCCTTCTTTCGCTTGTTCAAATATTGGAACCAGATTTTAAAGCTTTTGTAATGCCATGTCTATACACTTTTTTATTCCTACAACTTTCCACCCAAGTCGAACCCCATCGAGGGCGATAGGACTACTCATGTCTTGGTCTTGTATTCGTGCCTGGTTCGCTTCGTAATCTCGTACAATGCTACGACAATCGCCATGCCATGTTCACCCTGTATGAAGGTATCTACGCTGTTCCTACAGCTCGTAGCCGCGGGGGCTTCTCTCTTTCTGATCCTCCCATCGAGTGCCCGAGCCAAAGATACGTCTCTCAAACAACGTAGTGGGACGGGGGGTATCATAATTCCTCTTATCACACAAATCTTCCCTTCCTCCTATTCCCCATTCCTCATTCCTCAACGCCTATGGGCCCTAACATTCGGACTACTGTCCATCATACTGCTCCCGTCTGCAGAGAGCAACCCGCTCAGGTCCATACTGCTTCTCGGCATATGATGTCGCGCAGCAGCCCTACCCCGATCGCCCGTCGGACTCAGCGGCGCCCTCAGCGGCGCAGCCCTCGGCGCAAAACTTATATCCCCTTCCTCGTCTTCGTCATCCTCGTCATCTTCCCCACCTCCACCACTACTGATGCTGCTAGTCGTCAACCCGCTCACCTCCGCCTCGGAGTCCGTGTGCTCGTACACCCCGCTCAGCTCCCCGGCCTCGGGAATCTCGTCGTCCAAGTCGGCGTCCATGTCGACGCCCATACCCAAGTCGTCGACATCCTCCTCACCAGGCTCGAGAAGGTCCTCCTCGTCGAGCATCTGCCCCTGCCCCGAGGCCTCGAGCTCCTCTTCGGCGCCGTACATGTCGTCGCCGTCGACATCGCCCCGCGCCATAGCCTGTCTGAACGCGTCGTCCGCCATCCGCATCCGCGCCGCGACGAGGCCGTCACGCCTCTCGTCTTCGTCCTCGTCCACGGCCGTCGCATCGTCGTCATCATCGTCATCATCATCGTCGTCGTCGTCGTCAAGAGGTTGTCCTTCACTCGACGACACATCATCCGCCATACTATCCTCCCCACCGTCAAACCCAAAACTCTCCTCGGCATCTGGAATCTCATCATCAAGATCCCGAACCTCTTCTTCTTGCTCTCCATCCTCGCCCTCCCCGAGCTCCTCAAGCCCATCATCCTGGCCCGCAGCCTCCGCCTCAGCGAGCTCCTGCGCAAGCTGCTCCCTTCTCATCGCCTCAGCGTGCTCCTCCTGCTCCCTCCGCTCCTCACGGATCTGATGCAGCGTCTTAGGCACGCCGGGCGGCTTCAGCCATGTGCTCCCAAAGTTTTGTACGTGCAGCCTGCGGCGGTCCATCGCGTGCTCGTCGGCACGGAGGCGCGCTAGCGCAGAGCGTTCGATGAGGAGGTGGCCTGCGCGGCGGGAGGAGGAGCTGTTCTGCTGCTGCTGCTGCTGTTGCTGCTGCTGTTGCTGGGCGGAGCCATGGTTGTTGTTGTATTCGCCGCTGTGGCGCTGTTCGTGGGCTTCGAGGAGGGCGGCTTGGGTTATCGGGTTGCGGGAGGAGGTGTACCAGATCGAGTGCGACTGTTGCTGGCGAGGTTAGATGGCTGACGCGATAGTGGCGGGGCGGGTACATGTGGTTTTCCATGAGAGAAGTAAAGTCAGGAAGGAGCTTACATCTCGTGGGGTGAGGTCTGGTAGTAGGCCGAACATTGTCACTCGCAGGGTGCCGCTGGACAATAGGCTCGAATTGCCGTGATCCAATGAATGATGCGCGTAGAGGAATTGATGTCAGCTCTAGCCGAATGGAAGTTGTTTCAAAGCTGTCGAGAGCTTCGTCGCAACGGAAAAGGACCCCGCTGCAAGTTGCCTGTTGCGAGGGTGCAAGTAAACAAATTCGACAGAGCACAAAGTACGTACTCGCCGGGGTGTAAGGATCTTCCCCACATTGACAGACGCGCCGCGCCTAGCGCGCTTGATCCCTGCTGAGAGGAAGTCACGATGCTTCATTGCCGGCGGCAGAAATGTGGTTGACTGCCCAGTAAATTCAACTGCATGTCTTCAGCATTCACGATTCAATAGTCATGATGGCTTCTTCGCAAAGTGATGGTCGGGTGCCCGGGAGGTGCCATCTCCATGCCCCCTCCTTCAGGCTACAGCAGAGCATTTCGAAAATCTGCTCAAACCCAATTGGTGGTCTCCGCCAGTTCGACCGAATGGCTCTTCTTTCGCCACACTACCATGCCTCGCATCAATCTCAGACCAAACTTGTTGAGCCTGCACTCTTGCTTGCTAGTTTTCATCCAAACTGCATAAGCTGTTAGGCGCCTGCGTCTCCTCGTTTAGGGGGATTTAGTGTTTTTGTGAGGTAAAAAGAAACAGGGATGCCGAAGTATTTTCCGTCTGCCATTTCTTTCGACATTCTCTGTGCTTCTGCGTGGACTCTTGTCTGCAATTGATTCGCATAAGTGGCGGGGAAATGAGGGACCGGCGCATTCGCCCCGCGCCGCTCTGATGTGTCTCGTCGGGAGAAGTCGGAACGGCGCTGACTTCGGAGTTGGTGGCATTGGCTATGCAGGTGGAGGTTTCAAATGCCATATTTCCGCTTTGTGGGAATTCCTCGCCATGGGCTGACTCGAGTGGACTCTTTCTTCTGCCCGTTGATTTTTTTCGCTTCTGTCCTGGACCTACTATGTAATACCAAGCGAACACCCTGCAGGCTAGTATGGATGGGGTCAGAAGGCGTGCGCCGCCTCCGATATAGGTCCCAGGACGCCTACTAGGGGAAACTTCCGCCCGGCCTCAGTTAGGGTGAACGGCCGAGCCGATTTCGGGGAGGCTTGGTCAGCGCTATGGGTAGACGGCAGATACCATGTCGGACCCAGCTTCGCTTCGTTTCGTGACAAACTCCACACAAAGACTGGCGAAAATAGGTACATAGCAACCGTTCCCAGAGTTGGCCCAGACATTTACAATTGGTGTTGTTCAGGTTGCTGACCAGAAGCCCACTAATAAATGTGCTCTAAACACGGGGGTTGGCATGTGTAGCCAGTCAATTGATTCGTGACCAGAATCACAGAGCTGTTCATTCGTCCTCGTGATCTAGCCGACAGCATGACACTAATATGAGACGACTTTTCTATTACATTGAAGAGTGATTGCACTCAGGTGCGGAGATGGAGGGTTGCTCCAGGAGGGCATAGGTGATCACAACCGCTCCCAGCTACACAGTAGGTTCTGTCCATCCAGATCGAGGATGCAGACACGTGCTGGTCGACAGGCTAGGCTGCGAAACCCTAAGTCAGTCCCGGAACGAATAGCTTTTCTCACAAACCTTAAAAAGAGAAAAATACTCATCGCATGTCCTGTGCGCTTTGGTGACACTTGTGACGTAGCTGTTGGTCACCGAGTGCGAATGCGTCTTTCATATGGCGGGCATGTCTGTGCCGTTTCTCAGCAGGCTACCTTGGACGCTGAAATCCCGTCGGAGACAGCCCCCCTCCTTCTTCTCCTCTTCTCCCTCTCCCCCTCCAGCTCCAGGAGCCAAGAGACCATGAACGTCTGTGCGTGGACACAGGCAGGCTGGCAGGGTCGTGCTGGGCAAGGAACTGTGAGATCTCGAACGCCTCCGGTCCGCGGGGTCGCATTTGGCATGGATGTGCCGACTAGGGGGATACCTGTCTTGCTACAGCTCAGATGCAGATGCAACAAGTGGCCGTCATGGTTGGCTTAAGATAAGACGGGCGAAGATGAGGCTCTAGCTGTGATTGGCCGGGTTCTCCAATTTGGAGTTGTCGATTTTTTGACAGCAACCCTTTTCAAGTTGGGCAACAACTGTCGATGCTACAGTGTAGTCAGACGCCCAACTCGCCAGTCGATGTGCCAGACAAGAGGGTGACTAGTTGCCTTTTCGAGTCCCAGTATGTACAGCAACGGAACATGTTCCCATTTCATCTCTCTGATGTCGCGCCGTTGTCTGCCTACATGTGCTCGGTGCTGCCCGCCATTGGTTAGCCTTCCCGTAAAGCCCGTATTGCTCGCAGTTGCGCCATGCGTCGCGCCTCGAGCCTCCCTCTCGCTGAGCACACCGCACCCTAGCTGCGTATTTCTGCTGAGCGGATCTTACGTTGGGGGGCTCATTTGTCAGTCGGTCCGTCCATCGGTATCCGTGATCAATGCCGCCGCAAGCGCTTGGGGAAATGGCAAAAGTCGCATCCCAGACGTCCCTGGTCCTTCGCCGGCCGCTGCCGTCCAGCCGTGGACACCACCAAGTTCCGCGGATCGGAGGGTTGATAAGCAAACAAGAGATATACCGACCACTCCCATTCGTGATAGGATTTCGGAAACAGCTCGGAATCTGCGCAACATCGAGTCCATGACGCAGCGTGGTTGATCTCGAAATTCGCCCGTCTTTTTAATCTGCCCCGATTGATACCAACGACAAATGGCGCATGCAGGGCCGCGAGACATCGAAGCCAGCCCCGTTGACAGATGATGGTTCTGCACGCTAGTAAAGTAATGGCAAGCCAGTCTCCCAGCAACATGTGCAAGCGCACCTTTGAAATGGAACGGATGTTCACCACCATCTCCTCCCCCAACTTGTTCCCCCCAATCACCTGCATCGGTGCTGGGCTGGCCCTTGTCTTGGAAGGGTCCGGGTCCAATTCCTCGGGGGCATCGTGCGGTTTATCAGGGGCCCCAAGCTCCGAGGCGACTTCGGCCAAGGGCTTCTTTGAAATGCAATTCGCTGATTGGTGCAAGCTCAAAGCTTGCTCATTGATGACATTAACCTTTCAGCGACTCCGTTTCGAGCGAGCAAAAATTGACTGGGTACCCCTTGCTTGACCCGCATGGAGTGTGTGGGGTGCATCTCTGGTGCTTGATTTGGCCGAGGCGCTGGGTTTTTGTGTCAAATTCTCTTCCATACAATACTCCCCAAGCGACACTTGAACAGAAAGGGATTCGCCAGAGAGACCGAATAAATCATAGGCTGTTGCCGTCCGGGATGTGCGGAAGAAGTTTGACAGTCCAGGGCCGTACGTGGCAGCACTACGTAAAAGTCTCGGGTAGCCACCCCAAGTCTCTGTGACAATGTCTCGAGGAAAGCAAACGCAACTTTGAACGTTCGGAATGCCCCCGAGGCAAAGTCGCAAGTTCGGCACGGCGCGCACAGCGTCTAATTCGCGGAGTAAAATCAGACATGGCGGTCTGTCTTTGTCTGATGAGAACTGGAGCCGAGCAGCGGGTGACTGTAGAATTCAAAAATATATCTGCGAAATACGCAGCAAGAGGTTCCGCTCGCCTCCAGCGTCACCTATATTTACCGGAAATTTTTTTTTTTCAAGCTGGCCGATCTGAAATTGCGTTACCGCCATTGGCCAAGACTCCCAGGCAGAACATGGGAAATAGCTCCCGAGGCATGGCATTCTCTAGCGTTCAAAATCCGGGCGGAATATCCGTAAGTTTTTTGTTTGTCGTCATTCCCACTCCCCTAGACGAGGCGGTCGGGGGGTACCTACGGCAGCCTGGAGTCTTATCTCGAGGTTTGAACTCAACCTCGTTCGACAGGTGAGGTAAGTAAAGTAGGCAAGTAGTACGGATATGGGGTGAAGCGTTGTTAGGCCGGTAGCTCGGAGTGACGGAACACCCAACGGTCGGGGTAGGACCCCGCAGAGCAACGTTGGCACGTCCGCCGTAGTGGGAGGGGAGGAGGAGGTGGTGGCGTATGGGGAAGTAGATTGGTGGCACGTATTGCCTTTGGTGGTACCTTGAGACGAAGGTTTGGAGCAATACAGAGACTGAAGAGGAAGCGCGAGATAGTGAGTGGGTGGATCGATGGGTAAGATGGTGGATGATGGGTGAGCCGACGGGGAGGAAAGTCGATCGACGTTGACATGGCGGAAGACCATCAGCATCCTGAACCGTGAACGAGGGCGCTCCGGGAAAGAGTGGGATGCCCGGAGTTGTTGCTCTGTACAGAGAGCATTCAGAAGCCGGGATGATGGCCTGAGAAGGCTGAGATTGACGGTACAGAGGGCTATTCTGCGATGAGCTGGCTGCTAATCTATCTGGATGACCGTATCTTGGGTGGTGTCGATGGTGTTTTGCTTCTGGCCGATGTGCGGTGTTTTCTGGCGTCTGGTTTTAGGGAGACTCAGGGGACAGGATGGGGCCTTTCCGTTCCATTTTCCGAAAACATGGTCCCCCGTAGCCCTTAAGCATCAGCGTCGTTGGCCGCCGTTGTGGTCGATTGTCGAGCTGGCCGGGGGTGGCAGGGCCATGGATGGGCAAAATGGTGCGCTGGACCGGTCCACTTTCAGGCCATGGTCAGTTGGTCACCCGTGGACAGGCCACCTGGAAGGAGGGGTTTCCAGGTTTATTGCATGGTAGCAGTCGAGTAGCGGCGGGCTTCCCAGGCAATGTCGTGTTGGGAAGGCAAGTAGGCTAGCAGGGTGGTGGCATGGTGGGAATGGCGGCATCAGCAGCTGGGGCCAGGGGGGGATGGAGAGGAGGCCCACTGAAGAGAGATGGATCATGGACCGAAAAACGGAGCAGGAGAAAGTCGACGCAGCCCATCGACCGGAGGCGGGGCGGAGAGTGGCACCCGCGAGCACCCACGGGTCCCGTTGTGGACTCGTGTTAGTGTCCTGTCGAAGAGTCAGAGATTTGGAGGAGACTCTCGTCAGACCCCGCCAATGGGAGACGGAAATGTTGGATTGAACGATGTGTTGATTGGACCGCGCTTCGCTCTCTGCTAGCTCGTTTGGACCCCACCATCCTTTACTTTTTTGTCTTACACTTCCAGTCTGCGTGTTTATGAAGAAGCGTACCTGTCGAGAACAGAAAAAAAGGGCCACCCTGATGGGACAGAATGGCCGACTCGCCCGAGAGGACCAAAGGCGGCAGCAGCAGCAGCAGCAGCAAAAGCAGCGCACAGACAGACACAGCCGCGCCGTCCACGGAGCCTTGCTCACCGATACGTACCCATCTTTTTGGCCTTCCCCTCTCATTTGCTGCCGCTGCCCCTGCCGGCTTTTGCATGAGTTTCCGTCTTTCTTGGTCGTCCCTTCTCATCCCATCTCAGTCCTTCTCGCACCAAGCTCTCGCATTTGGGGTCGGTACGTACCGCATCCCATCTCACTTCGCATGCTGCAAACCCCCACTGCTCTTTTTCGGCTCATACCCCTCTCAGCAAAGGTAGGGAAAACGTAAGAAAAAAAAGAGAGAGGCAGCGCTTATGCACCACCAGCAAGTGAGCCTACTGCACCTCGCAAATTACCAGGGGAGGGGCCGTACAAATTCTCCAGTAGATGGATATTCTTTACTAGCCTGTCTGCCTGTACCATAGGTAGTGGATCAACATTCTGCGCATGGTGATCGCTGGTTGGTCAAGCGTCTCTCTGGTCGTGTTGCCACAGGCGCATTGGAGTAAAAGTATCCGTACTCTCTCTGCAATACCTAGGTAGTGCGAGTGAGAACCTGAGCCAGCCTGTCGGTCGTCCACTCTTCGCTCTCGTGCTCTCCGAACCTACTACCCCGTTTTCCCGTTGTCTCCATACAGAAACGTCTTATTCATCCAATTTGCATTGGCTTCCTCTGGTCTTGGGTCTTCTCCCCGTTCGGGTGGCCGCCGGGGATCGCCTTCTTCCCATCCTGTCTGTCAGTCCTGTCCCCCCCCCTCCAACCACCCCCTCCCCCAGCTGGGCCCAGCGCCGACTCAGGACTTTTACTCCTCCTCCTCCTCCTCCTCCTACTCCTCCTACTCCTCTCCCGTCTTCGCCCGCACACTTGGGCCAATACACCAGAGCTCTCATAAAAGGTTGCTCGTCTCCCACCTCCCATCTTTTCCCCTTTCCTCTTTCTTCCGCCCTCCCACTCTTCACGCGCGGTGCTACGACGGTAGAAAAAAAGCCCTCTCGATCCCACTGCGCAAACATCTCGACCATACACGGTCCATTACAAAACCCAAAGCCTGTCGGTAAGTTATATGTACATGTGCTCATATAGGGACGACCGTCTCATGACCCGATACACTGTCATGCCATCCCCAAATACCTTCCACTTGCCTCAAACACAATGCCACCAACCATCCAACCCAGTCCAACAGCAAGGCGCACAGAGAGACGAGAATCGATGCAGGGAGCTTGAAGATGTGAGAGACAGCCGAACAGAGAGACACGAGCATCACACGCGAGACCACGAGGGAGCAGCACTTGAGGAGACCGACCCATACGAAAACGGCGAAGCGAGTCTGAGCCATATTTTGACGCGGGAGCAGCGTTGACAAAACCAATGGCATTGAGCAAAGTAACAGCAACGGCTACGGCATCTGGCGGCGCATTATCCGCAGCGACTTTGGCATCTCCGTCCTCCGTCCCAACTATCTTTTCTGGGACAGTCGCACATTCTCTGCTGCACAGCGCTACACATGCACCTTTTTTCCCTTGGACTTGCGCCTACGACTGCAGACGACCCCACACACCCGTAATCCTGGACGAGAGACCCCTGGTCATAATCCCTGTGGGGTGTGATGTAAGGTCACCGCGGGAATGGGGCTTGCAGTTATCAACCCCAAGCCAAAACAACACAAAAAAAAATCTTGGAGGGGTTGTCGGCCGGTGGCGGCCTAGCACGGGCGGGACTGGTGTGTGCGACCATGTGCTTGTCCCCCATTTCTACAACAGACCTGGGCCGGCAACTGGCGTCACCATTCTTAGCCGCATGCTTTGACAACAGCCTGCCTCTCATTGGCCATCGCCCATGTGGCGGAACAGCGCTGGAAGCACGGCCAGCGCCGGCACCGCATTCTGCAATGCTACGCTATTGGCACCGCTGCAATCATCTCAGCTGCGGTCGACGAAAAAAAAGAGACAGCGCCAGACAGCTTTTGGCATTTGCAGCACTTGCATTTGCGTCCCCTGTTTGAGCTGCTTTTGGGCCGATGGGTGTGGCTGGCTGTCTTCGCTTGCCTGCTGCTCACTTGCTCTCGTCCTAGCCTGCCCCTCCATCCCGGCTTCGATTGCCTGGTCTGAGCATGGCTCGCCTCGTCTTGCCCTCACTGCCACTGCTGCTACCGACAGGGCCCCTTCTGGAGCATGTTCTGCCGCCAGTGCTTGTTGCATGTGCCGCTGCTTGCTGCTCTTTCCGCATTGTTGCTCGCAAGGCTTGTCCGGCCGTTCGTTGCGAACAGGGGTGGGAAATCAACACCACCGCAAGGCTCTCGCTCTCTCCTTCTCCCAGTCTACTTGATGCTGGCTCACTTCCGGACGACGTCGCAATCCGGTTCGGGAGTAGAGTTTGACCTGCTCTGGAAATTTCCTCCTCTGGTCCTCCGTGCGTCCCTCGCCAGCTCCGAGCTTAATTGAAGGATATCGCACTCCGCATTCAAGTTTCTGCAACGACTTCTCCTCGCCACTCTGGTCTCACCGTCAAACTCGCCGTCGACCACTCGCCTGATCAGTGTTTCTCACTGCCTTTGTCCCTCCATCCCTCTCTCTGTTTCTCTCTGGTGGCCCATCGCGCAGGCCCAAGACCGCTCCCGTGCTCTGTGCGACCCTCGGTCTGGCCATTGGGCAGTCATTCCCCCTCATCTCACCACCATCAAATCAAACACGCACTCGACCAACGCATTTCCGTCCCCACATCACTAATTGAACCCGTGTTCGGGATTGACAGATAAGTACCAGAGCCATCGCTCGCACCGATCGAATACTGCCGACTGGAATAGTCCATCCCCCGTCGACCTATACCAGCCCCTTCCACTGCAATCAGGCTCGAATCCTCGCCTAGCATGGGCCTGCACGAGGACTTCGACGACCGACAAATCCATATTGAATCTGAAAAAGAGCAATACACTCCGTATGAGTACCAGACGGACAACAATGGCTCCTGGGCGGGTGCTCTGCCGGTGAAGCAGTACGTTTCCCCGCAATACGCTCTTCACAGTCGACTGTACTGACGATTGACCGCAGAGGATTGTACGATCCGAGCTTGGAGAAAGATGCATGCGGTGTCGGCTTTGCTTGGTATGTTTAGAAGACAGACAGAGACTCGCACCAAACAAAAAACCACTGACACCTCTCGCAGCCACATCAAGGGCAAGCCTAGCCACAAGATTGTCAGCGATGGTGAGTTCAATACCTTCTCCCCCCAACTCTTGCCCAGCAACCCGGCTGACTAGTCTCGCAGCGCGCAACCTGCTTTGCAACATGACCCACAGAGGTGCTGTGGGATCTGATGCACGAGACGGTGATGGCGCTGGCGTCATGACTTCGATCCCTCACAGATTCTTTGTCAAGAATTTTGAAAAGGAGGAAGGCATTAAGTTGCCGCCTCTGGGACAATATGCCACGGGAAACCTGTTCTTTAAGCCAGACGAGGAGACTTTGCAAGAGTCCAAGAGGCAGTTGGAAGACATTGCCGAATCGTTAGGCCTGCGTGTCTTGGGATGGCGAAGGCCTCCCGTTGACTCGACTCTGCTTGGTCCTGCTGCCAAGTCCCGTGAACCCATCATCATGCAACCTTTCGTCGTGTTGACATCCGCTTACGGCCCGACCAATGCTCCCGAGAACACCGACCCCGAGCAATTTGATGACAGACTCTTCGAAAGACAGCTGTATGTCCTCAGAAAGCGCGCCACCCACACCATTGGTCTCCAGAACTGGTTCTACCTATGCTCCCTCTCCAACAAGAACATTGTCTACAAGGGACAGCTATCTCCCGTCCAGGTTTACCAGTACTACTATGATCTGGTCAACGCCGACTACGAGGCTCACTTCGCCCTTGTGCACTCCCGTTTCTCGACCAATACCTTCCCCTCCTGGGACCGTGCTCAGCCTCTGAGATGGGCCGCCCACAACGGTGAGATCAACACTCTCCGCGGTAACAAGAACTGGATGAAGGCCCGAGAGGGTGTCATGCAGTCCGACATCTTCAAGGAGGAGCTTGAGGGTCTCTACCCCATCGTTGAGGACGGCGGTTCCGACTCTGCCGCTTTCGACAACGTCCTGGAGCTGCTCACCATCAATGGCGTTCTCTCTCTCCCCGAGGCCGTCATGCTCATGGTCCCCGAGGCCTGGCAGGGTAACACTCACATGGATCCCAAGAAGGCCGCCTTCTACGAGTGGGCTGCTTGCCAGATGGAGCCTTGGGACGGTCCGGCTCTCTTCACCTTTGCCGACGGACGCTACTGCGGTGCCAACCTCGACCGTAACGGCCTGCGTCCCTGCCGTTTCTACGTCATGGACGACGACCGAATCATTTGCGCTTCCGAGGTCGGCACTATCCCCGTCGAGCCCGAGAAGGTCATCCAGAAGGGTCGCCTCCAGCCCGGTCGCATGCTGCTGGTCGACACCCTTGCCGGCCGCATCATTGACGACAAGGAATTGAAGGAGGCCGTCTCCAGCCGCCAGGACTTCCGCTCCTGGCTCGACCAGGAGCTCATCACTCTACCCAAGGTTCTCGAGACCGTCGGCAAGTCTATCGATGTTGCTGCCAAGCCCGATGCCTCCCGCCTACAGGAGGATCCTCTTCTCCTGTCCTTCGGTTACACCCACGAGCAAGTTAGTTTGCTCCTGGCTCCCATGGCCTCTGACGAGAAGGAAGCCCTCGGATCCATGGGTAATGATGCTCCCTTGGCTTGCCTGTCTCAGGCACCCCGTCTTCTCTACGAGTACTTCCGTCAGCTCTTCGCCCAGGTCACCAACCCTCCCATCGACCCCATCCGTGAGTCGATCGTCATGTCTCTGGAGTGTTACGTCGGTCCTCAGGGCAACCTTTTGGAGATGGACAGCTCTCAGTGCGGTCGTCTCTTGCTCCCTAGCCCCATCCTCTCGATCCCCGAGTTCAATTCTATCAAGAACATGTCCACCATCCACCCCGAATGGACTGTGAAGGTCATCGACTTGACTTTCCCCAAAAGCGAGGGTACCGCAGGCTACTTGCGCCATCTCGACTACATTTGCGACGAGACTACCGCTGCCATTGAGAACAAGGACCGCATCATTGTCCTGTCCGACCGCAACACCTCCAAGGACCGCGTCCCTGTCACTGCCCTTCTTGCCTCAGGTATGGTTCACCACCACCTGGTCAGCAACAAATGGCGTTCCCTGGCTGCTATCGTCGTCGAGACTGCCGAGGCTCGCGAGGTTCACCACATGTGTGTTCTCCTCGGCTACGGTGCTGATGCTGTCAACCCCTACCTCTCTATGGAGTGCATCCTCAAGCTGAACCGCGAGAAGCTGATTAAGAAGAAGCTCTCGGACGACGCTCTGATCCACAACTACAAGCACTCTTGCGATGGTGGCATTCTCAAGGTCATGTCCAAGATGGGTATTTCTACTCTTGCTTCCTACAAGGGTGCCCAGATTTTCGAGGCTCTTGGTCTCGACGAGAGCGTCATTGAGCGCTGCTTCAAGGGTACTGCTTCCCGTATCCAGGGTGCTACGTTCGAGGCCATCGCTGAGGACGCTTTCCGCTTCCATGAGCGTGGTTTCCCCTCCCGTGCTACTGTCGGCGTCAGCGGTCTGCCCGAATCCGGCGAGTACCACTGGCGTGATGGTGGTGAGGCTCACATGAACGACCCCACCTGCATTGCCAATATTCAGGATGCCGTCCGTACCAAAAATGACAAGTCCTACGAGGCGTACTCCCGCTCCCAGTACGAGCAGATCAAGGCCTGCACTCTACGTGGTATGCTCGACTTCAAATTTGAGGACTGTACCCCCGTTCCCATCGAGCAGGTCGAGCCGTGGACCGAGATCGTCCGCCGTTTCTGCACTGGTGCCATGTCTTACGGTTCCATTTCTATGGAGTCTCACTCCACACTGGCCGTCGCCATGAACAGACTTGGCGGCAAGTCCAACACTGGTGAGGGTGGTGAGGATCCTGAGCGTTCCCAGCGTCTGCCCAACGGCGACACCATGAGATCTGCCATCAAGCAGGTTGCCTCTGGCCGTTTCGGTGTCACCTCTGCCTACCTCGCAGACTCCGACGAGCTCCAGATCAAGATGGCTCAGGGAGCAAAGCCTGGTGAAGGTGGTGAGCTTCCCGGTCACAAGGTGTCCAAGTCCATTGCTCGCACCCGTCACTCCACCCCTGGTGTCGGTCTTATTTCGCCCCCCCCTCACCACGACATTTACTCCATTGAGGACTTGAAGCAGTTGATTTACGACCTCAAATGCTCCA